ATCAACAATGAGAAATATCTAATACAAAATTAGTGTCATTTTCCTTTGAAATAGTTATCAACTAATTCCACACATTACGAGCATAATTTCTAATGTGTGTTAGTGTATATTTCAAAAACTTTGAAATAGATTTATGTATATTAATCATATAATTGATTTACTTTAGTATATTGTGGACAATCTGAAAACACATCGATCTGTTAAATTTTAAAGAACAATGCAATGTCACGAAATTAAAACTGAAAACACATATTAAGTCATATAATGCATTTATAACATAAATATATTTGAAAAGTTTTCCTAAAGTGTTGTTTGACTTATAGTTAACTTAGATTAAATATGATTTTAGTCTCTGCAAATATAACACACTTTGTTTTAGATCCTTGCATTTTATTTTTGTTTTTCATCCCTGAAACTATGTTGATTTTCTTTTTAGTCCATGATTAGTGATGACAACTTCCGTTTAACAATGAAACAACCTTGACTCGAAAAAAATATTTAATTTCATTTTAGAAGGTTTTTAGTACATATTTAAAAAATGAAAATAATCAATTTTATATCATTCTAACTCTCATATTAGCCTAAAAAAATTATAAAATGATAAATTGAATGTTTCTAGTAGATTTAAATGTTTTATATGTATTTTGTGCAATTTTCTAAAAAATAATTCCCAAACTAATACTGCTTATTACTTATTATCTCCATAAGTCAAATTTGAAAGCATCTCCAATGCTATGTTTTTAGGATAAAAAATTTGTGACACATGGTACTATATATATGGAATGTCAAATCACGTGGGATGCATGAAATTAAACATCCCCAGGCGGTATACAATGCATACTGTGGACTTCAATTGTTTCACAAATGTGGCATTTATTTACTTGAAATTAAATAAATTTAATAGGCAGGGGCAGCCTATTTTATCTATGACTTCCCAAGGATTGCTCCAAGTGGAATTAAAAATGTCTCTTAATGGCAAAATGTAATTCTTTGTTCAATTGCAATTTATTCCTTTTAAAGTAAATCACAATATCCTTGAAAATGTCAAGACAAAAATACTAAAAAGTAATGAACAAAAAAGAGATGTACCTCGTTTTAAGTTTCCAATTAATTAAGCATTAAATATTGACACTCTTAAATGTATCTTAATTACTTTAGGTTTAAATATATTTTTTGTCGCTATAAATATATACATTTTGCTTTACATCCCTCCATTTTTCCACGCTTGAAATTTATGTTGATTTTCTTTTTAGTCCATTACCATTGATAACAACCTCCGCTTGACCTCAAAATAATCCCGACGGATAAATTTCTTCTAATTCTTTGTCATGAAGGGTCTGTTTGCAACTGCTTTTAAAAAAGCACTTCTCAGCTTTTGGCTTTAAAAAAGCACTTATTTTCCCAAACACTACAACTGTTATTTTCTCGGCTTCCGCGTCAAAAGTGCTTTTACTTTTTCTATTACACAAAAAGCACTTATTTTACCAAACACTACCCACTTTTACTTTTCAAAATCACTTTTTTCTCAAACACTATCAACTTTTATTTAATCACTTCTCCCCATTAAAAAAAGCACTTTTTTAAAAGCAGAAGCTGTTGAACAAATCCTAAAAAAGTATTCAATTTTGTCTTTAGAAGGTTTTAATATATATTTTTAAAATGTGAATATTTAGTTTTACATTGTTTTAGCAGTCATATTAGCCTCAAAAATTATAATAAAGATAAATTTAAATATTTCTAGTGGATTTATGCAACTCATGATAATTATATTAAGTATAGTGGTTTCAAAATTAGAGATGAACTAAAAACAAAGTATTGCATATTACAAGGATAAAAAATAAAAAAAATTTGAAGGGAGCTAAAACAAAGTGTATCATATTTGCAAAAATTGAAAACATATTTAAGTCATCACTTTAATACCTATCATAATATCCAATGACCTGTGGAGGCCATAGTGATCACTAACGGTCAGTGATCAATGACCAATCCGATAGTTATCATCGTTATCGGTAACATTGACCATCGTTGTCGGTGACAGTGACCGCCGTCGCCGGTCACAGTGCCCACCACTGATGAGTTACAATTACTACTGCATCGGTGACATGATTTTCAACCCCCAGTGACACCGTCCCCCGCCGCTGACAACACAACCTCATGACCATGACCCGACTTATTTACCTCCTCCCAGCTCCCCTCCCCATCTCCTCAACCCTCACCTATTCTCCCACGTCCAACTCCCCTCTCCTCTCCCCAGCTCCTCAACCATGTATGCCTGATCCGTGGACCACCGCTCCCCGGCCACTAGCCGACCAAGCCCTCCACCCCCACCCCCACCCTGAGCGATATTTTGTAAAGGTAAACTTACCAAAAGTGCATTTATAAATACATCCCAAGAAAAAAAGTAACAAACTTTAAAATACAAAGTCTACAGTTAGTCACCTTTTTTCCAAATTAAAAATTAATCCTATTTATGTCTAAGGAAACAATGTATTTTTTTTCATTATTTCATTATTATTTAGTGTTTTTTTCTAAAAGATTACTAATAAAAAATATATTGACAAAAATGTGACTATAAGTTACTATGAGTAAATTTTATATTTCATCTATTATTAAATAAGTGAAACAGTCAACTTTTTACATTTTTCGATGCACAACTTTGACCATTAATTTATATAGTTCTCTGTTAGTAAAAAAATAAAAAATCAGATATTTGAGAATTTACAATGAGACAAATTTAGCAACCTTTTTTCAAATTTTTATTAATACATTAATAAATAAAGCGCAATCAAAATAGAACATTACAATTTCACACTTATTTAAGAATCAATATATATATAAAGGATGAACTTTTTAAGAGCATACAAAGCGCCACATAATCCTGCCATGTCATTATATATAACAATTATTTACTTATTTTTATACCTTTTGTTTTTTTTAGATTCTATTTTTGATTGTATATTGATATGGAAACAAAAATCCTTAGAAATCCACCTTAATTAATTTGGTAAACTTCAAATAAGTAAAATAATTTTTGTTTATCAAAGTGAAATTCTAATAACGTTTATTGATATGGAAACGAATTTATATTAGTTTACAAAACGGAATTAAATAGAAACAAATATGCAAATTAGTTTACTTATTAATTTGACACCTATTAATTATAACCAACATAAAGTATATATATTTTCAAAAGTAAATACGTTTAGCCTAGCCAAATAAGTAATTCTTTTTGGTTATTTCTTTATTTTAAACCTAAAATTTAAATATGACTTCACTTTTGAAATAGATTCCTAATCCAAATTAGAAAATCTGTTTACAAATTCCTACTTTTATTTTAATAGAATGTTTTTAATTGGATTGATCTCAGTTCCAGATTAATCAGATCAGATCAAACTTTAATAATTATAACTATAAGTCACATAAAAAACAGACATCTAATAGACCATATTAATTCATACCAAATCAAACCCGAAATTTTAATTCAATTATAAACGTTCTTATTACCGAGTAAACTGTAAGATCTAACAATTAAGAAATATAGAATTTTTTATTATTGGATTCATAACAATTATATTTACTTGAGATGCTTATGTAGAAGACCAATTTAACTTTTTTCATATTTTTTTTCTATGTTTCACAAATGGAATATATTTCACATATATTTTTTATGATTCAGAAAATTCCACCTATTTAACCAGAATTCAAACAATTTTAGCAAAATAAGTTTATTTCTCGTTTAAATCACATTATATGTGATCCGATAGAAATTAAATTTCAAATTAACTAAATTACATACTGCCCGTCCATCGCACGGGCTTGAAAGCTAGTTAAGAAATAAGATAATAGCCTAATAGGGACTAGGGAGTACTCGTATATTTTCGCAAATTATACCGTGGGATCGGCCCACCGTGCGCACGGTGTGCCGATCCCAAACGGCGCCGTTTTAATTAATGAAAATCACTCAACCGGTGGAGCCATGCCCTAACGCGCAGATTCGATTTGGAGCCGGAAGAAGCCATCGCCGGAAGTTGTCTACTGGATCTCGATTAATTAATATTGAAGCCGTACACTGTCAAGCTATATCGATATTTTCTCTGCAAGCTTCTCCGTATATGGACACTTCTGGATGGTGGAAGAGAAAGCTCTGCTACAAATTAAAGCATCTGGGAGCTGCTATCTGCTCCCAACCGCCGATCGATCCAGAGCCTGACAAGGGGATGAGGATTTTAGCTTCTGGCTCCTAAAGCAGGGAGTGAGTTTAGCAGGGAGTGGGTTTTTGCATCGGGGATACCCATCCTTTGCCTATCGAAGCTATCAAGTGTTGTCTTTGTAGATTTACATTGGCTTAAAAATATTACATTTTTATTAAAGAGATTTACATTTCTGCTTATCTGGAGTTACATATCTATTAGTGTGAGTTACATTTCAATTTTTCTCAATAAGTTACATATTGATTACACTTGATTTACATTTGACATGCTGCAAGTTACACCACAAAACAATGTAAGTTACACAACAAAATAAACCTCTGTTATTCAATAAAAAATGATTTTCTAATTAAAAGTCATTTTTAATGAACATAATATTAAAAAGAAAACATATGCACTATTTATGTAAAATAATTCGATAATTAGACTCCTTTTTCTCATTAAGCATAAGTTACATTTCAGGACACAAGTTACATATGTTGTAAACTGAAGTTACACTTGTAGCAACACGAGTTACATCTAATTATGCACACGTTACATCATTCATGTTACTGAGATGAAAATAAAAAAAACAAGTACTGGAGAAGTTACTGTTCACGCGTGTACTATTCACGCGATTTTTTTAAAACTGATTAAAATTATGTCGTTTTGTGGGGTGGAGCATGATGCTCACCGTGGGATGATCCCACGGTATACGAACTGGTATATTTTTGTCCACGTGGGGCCACGTCCCTACCGAACAAAAATGTGGAAAGCAATCGGGTCACCCAATGGGCCTAGTATGGGACTTTGGAGGACCAGACCAACCCGAGGTGTATCCGGGCATGACATAACAAGTGCGTGGAGGTTCGATTCTGTCAGCCACATTTCCTACGCTCTATTTCACTTCCAATTTCATCCCTTTTCTGCTCCCAGCTTGAAGTTCAACTTCATCTCTGCGGGTAAACTATCTGCTCGTCATACTTTCCTATTTCTTCCAAAAAATTCGCCGTATTTGTTAAAATCATATTCACAATTTGTTGTTTTTGAATACTTGCCAAGGCTTTGATGATTTATTACGTTGAACTGTTTCGCGGAATGACTTTTCTCCATTTCAGGAAGTTTTTTTTGCAAACCATGATAATTGAGTTCTTTTGTCTTGAATGGTGTTTTATTTACTGGTGCATGCTGATGACTTTCTCCATGTTTGGTATTCGGAAGCTAGTGATTCTAATTTGATGCATGTTGCATTGATGAACATTTCAAAGTAACCTTTCTGAAATGTGAAATAGCAATCTCCCAATTTATTACAAATTTTGGAATTATTTTTCCGAATAAATGGTACAAAATTGCTTCTTCCTTCTGTAAAGGAAATCAGGATCTTTGTTTTTGTAATCGTAACTGGGGTTTTAAATTAGGTTGTGGTTTTGGTTGGAATGGTAGAGACTCGGAAGACAACCATATACATTGGGCTCTGTTTAACTTGAAGGGTGAAATTTTTATGGGACTCGTACATGATATGAACCCTACAGTATACAACAAAAAGTTCTGATAAGAAAATATAGAGCTCTGGCCAAGATTATAACTACATAAATTCATAAGCGGAAATTGTAATAATTTTTTTTGTCTGTGCTGTACTATATCTAGTAATTTGTTGATTCCTTTCATTTTCAATTGTACTATTTGTATTATTTTCAAGAATTTCCCTAAATCTCCGAAAGCATTTGTGGGGATCTGTTTCCAACTAAGAGTAGTAACTAGTAAGGTTATTGCTTAGTCCTGCAAAGTACCTGGTTTCTATATTCCCCATCCATTAAATCTTCTCATGTCTTCATAATTTCTTCTCTATATCTCTGTAAAAGTGGTTAAATTTAGCTGGGATGAACTAGGCGTATTCAACTAATGAACTAAAGTAATGTAATCTTAATTTCATAGAAAGATTAACACTATTCCCAGCTAGTATTTGCTCGAAGTTTCCATTTTCTTATTTTCTCTTCAAAATTTGAATTAAAATTAACTACCAAGGAACATTTTTGAATGCTATGATTACATCTGGAATTCAGTGAGCTGAAGTCATACACAAATCATAATTTTGTTGCTGCAGCTATGTAAAAGGTTCTAAGTGTGCATTTCATGGATGTTAATACATAGATTACCACACTTTCTCTAACTCAGCTGAATATCTGAAACTTAACATCTATTCTACATTTATACTACATTGATGTTTAATTATTTAAAAAGTGAAACCGTTATGGCCTTGCAACAATATACAATGTCTTTGTGGCTTTGTTCAGCTGTACATCTAAATACTTTGAAGAGCAATTGTAGCTCTTAATGTATGTGTTGTGAAAGACATGCTTTGCTTCTTTGGTTTTCTCAAGAATAGAGGTGGTAGCCATTATTTTAGTTTCACCTTGGTTTTTTTTGTTCACTTTGTAAGATAGAGTTCTTGTTTGTTATTAGTTTCTGTGATGTGGCAGCTTGGTTTAAGAAGATAGAATTCATGTTTTCTATTTGATGGCTTCACTTATGCTACCTATCTTGTCTCTTAGGTTTCCTATATTCAAATGCCCTAACAAGACAACTGCATCTAAGGTCTTCATGATCCTGTTTAAGTATAACTGCTCTGGGAAGTTTAGAAAGAACCAACCTATCAGCCAGCTCAATACAGTACAGTATTAATGAAGATGAACAATAGCATTGCATCTTCTTTTGCTATTGCTCCTGCCTCTTCTCTTAGCCATGAACAAACTGCTGCTCCTGCTCCTGCCCCTAGTGAAGATGAGGAAAAGAAAGCTTCAAAGAGCTTATCTGGTTTTATTTTCTTATGTAATGGAAGGTCCAAACCAGAGTGCTACAAATATCGTGTTTTTGGGCTCCCATTGAGTAAAGTGGAAGTTGTAGAAAAGATTAAAACTGGCACAAAACTTTTCCTGTTTGATTTTGACGTGAAGCTTCTTTATGGTGTTTATGAGGCAACTTCCGATGGAAAAGTAGGGTTGGAACCTCTTGCTTTTGGAGGCAGATTTCCAGCACAGGTATTTTTTTTGTCATGCTACAAATCCTATAATAGTTTTCTTCCGAAGTATCTTCAGAGAATTTACTCCCTCTGCTCTAAAATATTCTTCGAGTTTTCCTTTTGGGGGCCGTACTAAAATTTTCTTCTTGTTTTCTGTTTAAGAGAGGAAATGTTTCGTTCATATTTTTACTACCTTTTGTACATACACCTCAACCACACAATTTCACTTTCTTCACTTTCTTAATAGGCGTGCAACTCAAAATGAGAATACTTTTTTGGGACGAAAGAAGTAGTAAATGCTTTGAAGACTACAGAATTATCAAGACATAATCTTGCTGCTTAAGCATTGATCTGCAATTTGATGCTGGCCTTTATCTTCTTAGGTTGATGATATTTGGATGTTTTTATGTAGTTTATAATCAGACACGGTGTTTAGTAACCAAACATAAAGTAACATGTTCCTCTTGTGTGTATGTGTTGCAGGTTTTCATAACATTATTCCTCTTGTGCATGTTTTTAGTAATAAATTAATGATGTACCCAACATATTTAGGAATTTTGTGTTTTACATGTCATGTTAAGTCATTCCTCATCATGCTCAGTGATAAGTGATAACAGGTAAGAGACTTGAGCAAAAGAAAGAAAAAAGAATTGATGATAAAATCCATAGATTCTTTCTAAAGAACAACACCTTTCATGCATGGCATAATGGATTCAATATTTATCACATACTTATATAGTCATTTAGTTTCTGATCCTTTCTGAAACATTTCTTCTGCTCTAGTTTAGTACTACCTCAGTCCCATTTTATGTGTCTTGTTTTGGTTTGACACTATTATTAATAGTGGTTGAAAAAGTAAAAGTTGTGGTTGAGATTTGTGCATTATAAAGTGAAATGTTGTGGTACACCTATTTCTTTCCAAAAAAGGAAATGTGACTTATTTTGGGACAACCCAAAAAGGGAATTAAGACAGGTAAAATGGGACGGAGGGAGTAATATATGTCATGCTTGGAGCATGTTTGACTTTGGGTGACCTGAAAAAAGAAAACAGTACAGTGTATGACTGTTTACTCTTCCGTCCAGGTACAATTCAGAATTTACAAGGGATCTCTTCCATTGCATGAGAATTCTTTCAAACATGCCATAAAAGATAACTACAAAGGCCCCAGATTTGAACAGGAACTCAATGAACATCAAGTAAGAAATGATGTTATTTATTATCATGAGAAAGACTAAAAAACAGCTTACTGGCTTGAGTGACTATTATGTGATTGATCTATTCTGTAACTGAGAACTTTGCATGAAACAGGTCAGAAATCTCCTATCACTGTTTCGTCCTCTTTATGAATCATCGTCATCATCAGCTTCACCCGCCCCGATGGCAAACATTGGCCCGACTTTGCCGAATATGGGCCATCCAAAGGGAACTTACCCCTCGGCAGTGAGGCAGCAAGTCGAGCACTTATCAACAGTACCCTTTGGGAAGTATCCATATGCCGGAATTGGCCAAGGTCACGTTCGGAATATCCAAGTATCACATCATGGATGGCAGGGAACGATGCCAATAAGAGATCGTTTCCACAATGGCATTGATCCGGGGGTTGCAGCTCCCAGCAAGCAATTCTTTACTGCTGATTCTCATCAGCATGTCCCAACATCCAGTTATCCATACTATACTGCAAATGGAAATCTCAATCCACCCATTCACCAATATTATACTGCAGATGTTCAAGAACGAAATATTGCAGCTCACAGTCACCCATATCATTCTGCTGCTGCTCAACAACTAAATGCTATACCTCTCACTCACCAATATTATTCTACCGACTCTCAGAACCCAAATGTTACTGCACCTAGCCACCCATATCATTCTGCAGATGTTCAAGAACAAAATATTGCAGCTCACAGTCACCCGTATCATTCTGCTGCTGCTGCTCAACAACTAAATGCTACACATCTCACTCACCAATATTATTCTACCGACTCTCAGAACCCAAATGTTGCTGCACCTAGCAACCCATATCATTCTGCTGCTGCTCAACAACTAAATGCTACACCTCTCACTCACCAATATTACCCTACTGACTCTCTGAACCCAAATGTTGCCGCACCTAGCCACCCATCTTGTGCTGCTGATTCCCAACAGTTGAATACTGCAGTGCACATTCAGCAGTATTATTCTACTTATCCTCAGCAAGTAAATGTGGAAGCAGTGAGTCACCCTTGCTTCCCTGCTGATTCTCAACTACGAACTGCCACAGCACCTAGTCACAATTATTATGTTGCAGTTGATGGTGGTGCTGTGCAGTTGAGGCAGGAATCTTATTTTAGGTAGACGTTTCTTCATTTCCTTTTTAGCTACTTCATCTCGCACTTTCGTATTACCACCCCTACATTCCAATTCATTTGTCCCTTCAACTACTCATGCTGTCAACCTAGTTCCTTTTTTTGTTCTTTAATTTTTTGTATCCAATTATAATTGTATTTTAATTAATTTTTTTGCGGTTTAATTATTCGAAGAAGTGATAGTAGGGTTTCTATTTTCTAAATATGTAAATTTAGTATTAATACTAATTTAAATGTTACTAGGAAATAGATAACTTATACTTCAGTCAACCCTCTTGATCCGAAATCGGTTCAATAAATTGGGAGGAGGTAGCAGTATTTAACAATTCTGGAAACCTAAAATGCACAAATCAGAATACTGATGTTTCAGTTGTTGGTGTAATTGGGACAGATCAATGCATGAGGCAGCTCCTCAGGATCAACTAATGGGAATACAACATAATTATCAGCAACTGCCTCAACAGATGCATCAACAAAGTGCTGATACCTTCAATTCGAACCCCATTCTCTCAGCCCCTTATGGATCTTTACTAGCTCTGCCGGGTGCTCCTCAGGCAGTTGCCACTCCGCATGATCTAAATGCTCACTCCTCGACCTATTATTAGCTCATGGGTGCAATTGTTGTTTGAAGAAGGTGGTGAACATGGAAATCAGGTCTCATACTCTTTGTAGGGTTTCTTGAAATATGTTGTTTTTTGTAAGAAAAGAGTTTTACCGCCACCCAAAAATGCTACAAGCGCTTGTACAATGATATTCTATGGATGTTATACCCTTTAATAAACTAGGAGCTTTTAGTAGTCCAAAGTTATTGATGTCAATCCATAATTATTTCTCTAAAAGGTGAAATCACACATCCGAGTATTGGGAGATCAGTACGGGGTGTGCCATAGTGTGGCATTAGTTATTAGTCCAACTCTTCCACCTTAGTAGTATCTTCTCAGATTATCCTGTAGAGTCTTGATATTGATGGGGTTTGGTCCGTGGTGAGAATGGAGGAAGGGGAAAGGGTGAACCAGTTAAACTGTACCTCAGTTGCATAGTCAGTTGATAATTGCATGTTTTTGCCTACAGTAGTACCAACAGAGAAACATGATATGATGGAATAGTTTTTTCCCAAAAATACAAGGCATGACATATAAGAGAAACATGCAAATACTAAGAATGCAGGGTTTTATGCATATAGTGCATGTGTACAAGGAGAGATTTCGTCATAGGATTTGTTGATGATATTACTTCTATTACTAGTTATTATTATGGAAAGATTAACTGATGATATAATTTATTATCTACATCTCCCAACCATAATATGTCAATTTTTTGGAATTATTAATTATGGTAAACATGATTTATTATTGACTTGTCTATTAGATAGTTTTAATGGAAAGTTACTTTTCCTTTCAAAAAATATTGAAAGTTGCATTTGCATACAAGTTTGATTTCATTTTTATTAATAAAGTCCCTTTTCTTCAAAGAAAAAGTTATATGTATGTATTTAGTTTACTATTTTTATAATTATTAAATTTTATCTAATGAATTTTCATTTTTTAAAACAAACAATTAACTAATTAGATTAATCTGCTTCCTATTATTGTGACAAGTGACTCACTAATTAGATCAATTTATTTGCTTTTAGTATCATGTGTGTGTGTGTCAAGAGGTGAAAAGATTCAACGTAATCCTAAATTGGTCTCTACTATATTTGAACATAAATGTTGAGCACCATTGTAATATTCTCATAATTTTATTATAACACATATTATATGTTATGCGTATGCTAAAAGTATAAGTTAATTTATACTGAGTATTTAATTAGTTATTACGGAGTACAATATTTTCTCATATTAATGTAGGACTAACTATTAGAAATAGCCATTTTTCCTTGAATATTACTCCGTACTAAATAAAAGCCAATTTCCAAAAAATGTGACAAATTTTGCGGAAGGGCAAAAAAGTGATTAAGGTCATATATTTGGAAAAACATGATGTCACTGTCAAATTTTTATGTGACTGTCAAATTTCTAAGTCCCTGTCCGGCTATTCCCCAGCTACCTTAGCCATCAGTCTACCAGTCGACCGTCGCCACCACCGACCACTGCCCCACCCCGACTCCCCAGCTCCCTCCCTAACCTCCAGCCCCCTCTACAGCACCTCCACCACCTCCACCCTTCGCCTGGGAACCAAGCCCCCTTCCAAGCCCTAACCACCCCTCCAACCACCAACCGCTGTGCCCCCATCCCAAAATCCAAGTAGCCGAACAAAATTAACTCACAATCGCACCACCACATTAGATTTGATCCCTAGCAATCGATCTAAAATTGTAGCCGTCAAAATTGGACGGCGGCTCCATTGACAACAGCGACGGCGGGCGAGCAGAGGTGGTTCACGGAGAAGAAGAAAGGGGAATGAGTTGCAGCGGCGGGGAATCGATGCAGTAGAAGGAAGAAGGATGGTCGCATCTTCGTCGCATGGGCTGGTCACATCTTCATCTCAGGCTCCAAATCCTCAATGGTTGAAGAAGGTAAAATAGCGTAGAAGACAAGGCGTTGAAAGTGTGCGGGAGTTTTATTTCAAAATTGTGTCTTTCCTGTCAAATTTAAAAGTTATCATATTTTTGTTTAATGAAAGTTGGAAAGTAATATTTGTGTTATTTTTTCTTTTAATATTGTCGTTTGTAAATATTATGTATAAACATTTTTCATTTTTTTTTCAATATTTAATACATGATTTTAAGAGTTTTTTTTAAATCCCCTAAAATTGCTCAGATGCTTCAGGCAAGTAAGAAACCGGCCATTTATTGTCATAGTGACTATTTTTGATTTGATAGTCCAAAATCAATTCGTTTTCAGTTTTCACTGTCTCAAAATAGAAATTCTGAGACTGTTTGGAGGAACACGAGTGGACCCCCGCTTTTTCTTACACAACTTTGCGATACTGTCGCTTTCTGAGCTCTGATTTATCCTCTCACGAAATCTTTACAGCGGTCCGAAGAGAGTATAAAATCCCGCGATGTCTAGCAGTCAACGAGATTAACACTGATTGTCAGGAAACAGTCTAAGTGAGAGGCTGCGCTGCCGATGGGAAATTGTTGCTCCGACGCGAGCGGCGGAAAGGCAGCCGTGGGCGGCAACGGGAGCTCCGGAAACAATCCGACTGATGATGCCAGCCTCGCCGTCGATGCCTTCCTCAAGTCTCGACGCTACCACGGGCTCTACTCTCAGATCGAGGTTCTCACTAACTGTATAGAAGCTCACTTATAAATGCTGTTCCCGAACATTGAATTCAGTATGGAGGTTTACGCGATTTCTCGTTGCTTGCTAGTTTGCAATGTCTGGAATTCTCGTTCAACACGATATATATCTATATTAACTAAGCAATTGACCTGTTGGCAGCTCAATTAACTTTCGTTTTTTTTTTCTCTATATTTTTTTTGCGAGCATTTTTATTTTCTCTATAGAGCATTTTTCTTTGCAGCTCAATTTATACTACCTCCTTCCCATCCACTATTCACATAATCAACTTAAATCATTCTTAATCTATTGCTTTATATATTAAATTTTTATCGAATTTACATTTTTTATAAGGCTTTGTAGTGGTTTTAACGTAGTTTCTGAATATGTAAATTTTATTTACTAAAAATAATCAAAGTGTGAACAAGAATTAAGTTGTTTTTTCGTCAAGCATCGTAAAGCGTAACGGAACCTCTCTATGGGACGGAGGGAATACTATGTATCTGAAAAACAATCATGTTTTAGCCAATGTAGTATTTTTAATGGCTATAAATCATTAATCATACTTACAATTTTAAAAATTATTTTTTAATTTAGCTAAATTTATCTAAGCAACTTGAATGTGACCGTATTTGGCAAATTACACATAAGTCATAAGTGTTAATTCATTTTAGTCAAATGTGAATTTTATTCGGACAAAAACTTGTTTGGAAATTGGAACAGATTTATTTTTGGGAGACGGAGGGAGTATCACGTCATCTTATATCATTTCTTTCTCAGCATTTCTGAAATATTTTGGTGGAAGAGGGTTACAATCCATACTTTATGCCCAACTCCATGAGCAAGTAGAACTGTAGGAGTCACACAGTTGAAGAGGTAATAGACTGGTAGTACCACGGACAGGTTGACAGTAGATACTATTCAGGCGTGACCATGGAATATAGGGTATCTTCGACTTTTGTGTAATTGGGGCTATTGGGCTATTGGGCTATTGGACATTCATATGGCACTTGTTTGAATAGAAGAGAGAATGCCTTCATAGACTAAAGCCCAAATGTTTGCATCATAATGAAGAGAGTGGGAAAAAATATAAACTGAAACTTGTACATAAGTTGACTTGATCATTCTTAAGATAATGGTGTTATGAGATATCATGTTTTTACTAGCATACTGCACTAAGCATTTTATATTTGGGAAGAAATGAAGAGTAAAGTGCAAATCTCTATGCTAACCTGCTTTCCTTAGAACAGCACTGTACTCATCTCATCTGAGGAGTTCATGGCTGTCTTTGTGATAAAATGGTAGAGCTAATATTATGGAGATGATATTGTTGAAATAAATTACTAAATATGGATGTTGTTGTAGTTAGTTTACAAAGTATGGATGTGTGAGGTGCAGTTTAGAGCTTTGTTTGTGGCGAGGAAATAGAGAAGAGAGATAGATTTTGGGTGAGAAAGAGATATAAGATAACAATAGGAGAGAAATCGAGTAGATTTTGGGTATTGTTTGGTGGGGAGAAACAGTGAAGAAATGGATGAAACTGAGAACATAAAAACTTCTTTTCTATTTCTTCCCATGAGGGAAAAGAATTGAAAAAGCGGTGGGATCCATGATTTTCTTTTCTCTTTACTCCATTTAACTTCTTCACCAAACAAATAAATTTGTTATTTCTTTCTTATTTCACTCTCTTCCTATTTCACCCTTCCCTATGTCACTTCAATCAACAAAAGCTACAAGTTACACTAAGCTTGTTAGTTTATAAAGAGGCTAAACTATAGGTTATTCACAAAAAAGCCCTTTGTTATAAATTATACTCCATCGTCCCATTTTGGTTGTCTTACTTTCCTTTTTGGGTTGTCCCAAAATGAATGTCATGTTTACATTTTTGACAAGAATTTATGTGGTCCATACCATTTCACTTTATTCTACTCAAATCTCAACCAAAACTTTAACTTTTCAGTCACTTTATTAATAATTGTGCCAAACTAAAAGAAGACATCCATTATGGGACAGATGTAGTAATAATCTTAGTCTGCTGAATTTGATATGTTTTAATATAAATTGTTGCAGTTATCTCTATCTGCCTCAAAGTTGCGCGATCGGGACGTGCTTTCCAAGGTTTGTTTTATTGTTTTAACTTTTAGTTAGAAATGTATAGCATGATTTGATTTGGCTAGGCAGTTTTATAAATATTTAAAGATTCCTATTGATGTCATTTCAAAGGTACTAAATATATTGAGGTGAGGAAACACGTGTCATTGCTTAGTTATACAAATATTAATATAGAAATTTAAGTCCATATTTATCCTGAGTCAATATATTCTTTTACATAAGGTTCTTGACTCCATGGATGTGAATGCAAGAAATATTTTCATGAACCTCTAGAAGACTGTAGGGAAGACTGTAGGGCATGGCGTGTTTCATGATCAATTGTGAATGATGTTTCACTTACAGAGTGATCCTATGGCAGTCCTTTATTCAAAAGGAAGGGATGGCAAACTTCAAGAGCTTGGTCGAACAGAAGTGGTTTTGAATTCAGTTCATCCTAAATGGATCACAAAATTTAACATGACCTATCAATTTGAG